TGACCCTCCGCTTGCCTTGCTTCTGAGCGCCCTGAGCGGAGGCTGCTAGTGCCCTGACTCACATTGCCCTGGGGGGCTCCTCCTGCCTGGGCTCTTTCTGTGCCCATAGGCTTCATTTGTCATCCCCTCTAGTGGAGAATCTGCCCCTGTCCTCCATCCTAGGCCCCCACAGCCACTAGCTAGAGGGCATGTGTGTGCCGGTGGTGTGGGATCCGGGCTCTGGAACTGACTGTATCTTCATACTCCTCAGGCAGAGGGGTTTCCACACGTTTGTGCTGAGGCCGCACTGCGGGGAGGCTGGGCCCATCCACCACCTGGTGTCAGCTTTCATGCTGGCCGAGAACATCTCCCACGGGCTGCTCCTGCGCAAGGTCAGGGTCTACACCCCCAGCCTCCACATGCAGTTCTTTGCCCTCCTGCTCCTCCTCCTCACCCAGCCATGAGATCACATTCCTTCCTCCCTATATATTTAGCTCTTCCCACCCATCCCCTAGCTGAGAGCCCAGCTTGGATTTACCATTCTTAAGTGAGACCCAACCTGGAGCCCCCTTCCCCTGCTCCCCAGAGCCAGTACTCCCTCCCAGCACTGAGGCCTCCCGACAACTCCTCCTTTCCTCCTACCTCCCCAGGCCCCTGTCCTGCAGTACCTATATTACCTGGCTCAGATCGGCATCGCCATGTCCCCACTCAGCAACAACAGCCTGTTCCTCAGCTACCACCGGAACCCTCTACCCGAGTACTTGTCCCGCGGCCTCATGGTTTCACTGTCCACGGATGATCCCCTGCAGTTCCACTTCACCAAGGTCAGACCCACGGCAGCAGGTGGCTTTGGGCGGGCGGGTGTCTCAGGGATCCCTGGGTTTCTCTGGGTTGTGCTGCCCCTTGCTGGTGGAGCATTGCAACTGTTAGCTAAGCCCTTAAAGGAGGGAGAGGCTGCAGGGACCAGATGCCTCTCTCAAGGAACCTGGCCTGTGCAGGAACCCCTGATGGAGGAGTACAGCATTGCCACTCAGGTGTGGAAGCTCAGCTCCTGCGACATGTGTGAACTGGCTCGGAACAGTGTGCTCATGAGTGGCTTCTCCCACAAGGTATGATACGCAACCCTCCCTGGGGCTGGGTGTCACCTCTTTGTCATCCTTTGTTTCGGGGTCCCGGTCGTGTCCCTATGATGATTGGATCTCCCTGCAGCTTCTGCTCATCACCCACACCACACCCTCTGCAGGTAAAAAGCCACTGGCTGGGACCCAACTATACCAAGGAGGGCCCCGAGGGCAATGACATCCGCCGTACCAACGTGCCAGACATCCGAGTAGGCTACCGCCATGAGACCCTGTGCCAGGAGCTGGCGCTTATCACACAGGCCATCCAGAGTGAGACGCTGGAGACCATCCCAGAGGAAGTGGGCCTTGTCATGAGCCCGGGGCCTTAGTGAACCTGGTCCGTGCAGTGCTCGCCCATCTCAGCGACTTGATCGTGTCTGTGATTGGCCCCCTTCCACCTGGTGTGGTCTCTGCATGTCTCTGTTCTCTGTTTCCATCCTGCATGTCTTTGACCAGGTCTTGCCTCTGGGCCACCTCAATGAAAGCAAGTCCAGGAATCTGTTTCACTGCCGTCTTGGCTCAGGTGGTACCTGATGACTGAGATTTAGGGCTGGCCCTGCTAATGACCCGTCCCAGGATTGTCAGAGGTCTGGCTGTCCTATGGTGTCTTCAGTGTCCACAGGGGCTTGGGATAGTTGTGTGTTGTTAGCCCCGTTAGCCTCCGGAGCCCTACCTCGGCAAATCCAGGCTTTGACTAGAGTTCAAGTTGTGGTCCCTTCTTGTTTATGTGGCCATGGGGCAGTCAGGAGGGGCTTATGGTCCCTCTGTTGTGGCACTGGCTGCTCGGTGTCTGTGCTAGGCAGAGTAGGCTTTGGCTTGCTCATGGCCCTGGAGGCCTGGACCACTGCCCCTGCCAAGTCACTGCCTCCTCTGTTCCTCCCCACTCCACATGTCCCTCTGTTACCAGCTCCCTTGTGCCCCTGTGGGAACGGGCAGCTGCCCTCATCTGTGTGTACAGTTGGAGGGTGCTGGGCCTGCCATTAGCCCTGGGGGTGGTACCACCTTCGGGGGTTCCCAGGTCTTTGGCCAGGCCCAGATCCCAGTTAGCCTTATGCGTTATGTTCTAGACCAAGGCCTTTGCTATGAAGAACAGTGTTTCATATGACCCATTTTCCTAGTGCATGAGAAATAAAGATTATTTAAGTAATGAGGCATGTGAAGGTCTCTGTTGGGAGGGAAAGGTGGTAAGTGGCAAGGTACTCTGGATGGAGTACAGCCTGGGCTGCTGTCTAACAAAGGCTGGTGGCGGTCCTGCCGACGCCTGTGAGTGCTTGGGTCATGTGTGGGTGTGTTGTCACAGCTATGACGTGCAGTACATTCTGAGGCGCACAACATGGATGAAGTGGATTAGTGTGTTTGCACAGAGACCAGGGTGTCAGTAGGAGGAAGATGCCCACTGCGCTATTACCCGGTTTGTCCCTTCTGAAGGGGACAGGTGGCTCCAGGTCCATGGTGTATCCTTGTCACACCAGCTTGGAAGGACGGCACGCTTCCACATCGTGCCTCCTGTGCAGCCTCTTAGGGACCGCATGGCAGGTGGGAACATATGCCCCTACATGTCTGCCTGAGGCCTGTGGCAGGTGTGGTGAGACTGTCAGATTGTATTGCAAGGAGCTGGAGCTGCTGGTGTTTGAACCCCTCTCTAGCAGTTGACTTTCCACCCCAAGTTTGTGGTACGGTTTTCAGGGCATCTCTTTGCCTCTAAGGTACTAGAGTCCATTGGCGTGTAAAGAAGGGAAGTACACCTTTGATCCTAGCCTGTCCTGGAACTCGCTCTTGTAGACCAGGTAGAGGTAGGCGGATCTCTGTGAGTTTGAGGCCAACATGGTCTACAGAGATAGTTCCAGGACAGGCTCCAAAGCTACAGAGAAACCCTGTTTTGAAACACAAATAAATAAATAAATAAGCAAATAAATAAATAAATAAATAAAATAAATGGGAAGTAGAACCGGCCCTGAACAGCGTAGGGTATTTCCTGCATAGGCAACAGACGCTTGCACAGCTGCTGGAGAGGTACTAAGGGCTTCCTGCTTCAGAATTGCAAACCGTTATGATGAAGGGCCTGGCTGGGAGCCCATGAAGGCTGGCAGCAGCCCCCACTCCCTAACTCCTGACTCTGAGCAGGTAGGAGGGCTCGTCTGCATCTGGCCTCAGACTTGCAGCAGTGCCCCAGAGACCCAATGCAGCTCTGTTTACCTTCCTGACTCTCACTGGCTCCTAGCCAATTCATTTTAGTCATTTACATATCTGTATTGAATGCTGGAGTTTGGGCATGAGCGGAAGGCTGACCCAACCAACCAACAAAACCACGCCAAAAAAACTAATTTCTGCTTATTGACATGGGCTGTGGAGGTAGAAAGGGATAGCAACAGACTGGAGATAAGTTCTACACACCTTGCTGGGCCTTGTCTGCACCCCCCCAAAACAATGCTTTCCAAGAATGAGGGGAGCTAACTTTGTGAAATCTGGCAAACAGGCTTAGTAGGTGTAGACCGTGCCTTGAAGGCCAGCCCTGCCCGCCCCACACCGGCACTGAGGACTCCATATTCTTTTGCTGAATTTGTAATTAAGGCAAATCCTTCCTTTCATATTCTCGCCCGGTTTTTCTCGGTGCTGAGGCCCAGCCCTCAGCCACCTTTCCAGTTTCGTAACAACTGGACTTTGGTTTTCAGTTTCGCAGAAAATTCTTTTTCAAACATTTATCAACAGTGAACCACCGGGCGCTGGTGGCGCACGCCTTTTTTTTTGTTGTTGTTTTTTTGGTTTTTTGGTTTTTCGAGACAGGGTTTCTCTGTGGTTTTGGAGCCTGTCCTGGAACTAGCTCTTGTAGACCAGGCTGGTCTCGAACTCACAGAGATCCGCCTGCCTCTGCCTCCCGAGTGCTGGGATTAAAGGCGTGCGCCACCACCGCCCGGCTGTGGCACACGCCTTTAATCCCAGCACTGGGCGCTGGTGGCGCACACCTTTAATCCCAGCTCTCGGGAGGCAGAGGCAGGCAGATCTCTGTGAGTTCGAGGCCAGCCTGGTCTACAAGAGCGAGTTCCAGGACAGGCTCCAAAGCTACACAGAGAAACCGTGTCTTGAAAAACAAAACAAGTTCGGGGCCAGCCTGGTCTACAAGAGCTAGTTCCAGGACAGGCACCAAAAAAGCTACAGAGAAACCCTGTCTCAAAAATAAAAAAGAAAGAAAGAAAGAAAGAAAGGAAAACAAAACAACAACAAGTGAATCTTTTTCCTTTTTGGAATTTGGTCTTGTGGTTCCAGGGACAGAATGCCAGACCTTTCATACTCTAGGTTAGTGAGCTGCACGCGCAGCCCAGGAACAACTAACATTTCAAAGATAAGGAAGGATTTGCTAACTAAAAAGGAAAGGAACTTTTCTGCACTACAGAATGGGGCACATGTATTTCCCGGTGATGCTCTCAAGAGTGTAAGTGGTGCTGAAGAGACACATCCCATCCTTACCAGCACGTGCTCCAGAGTCGTCACCTGGCTCCTAACAGGAAAAAGCATGGCTCTCTGTTGGCAGTCATTGCTGATCTCAGAGCAGGGAAAATGAACCTTGCTGCCAGGTGAAACAAGCGTGACATGGTCCCAAATGTGATGTGCAGCTCGGAGACCTAGGAAAAACAGGCGGAATAATCTACTCCCGCCTTGTCAGCTTGGTTTCATTGTCCTGACAGCCCCAGATGGCAGCACAAACCATGAATTAAGACAAAAATACACGGGAGGGAAGATCCTTGGGTTGTTCTTCTAGGGGCATAAAACAGAAACATACCTATAAATAAAATGACCGAATTAAAGAAAAAAATTTTAATACAGGAAAGTAGGAAGTAAAAATCATATTCTTGCCTATACCAATTTTACCAAGTGTTTATAACGAGCATACTTGAGCTATGTGTATGCATGAATCTATTTTACATATTTATGTTTTCCTTCTAGTTCTTTTCAAAAAGAATCTTTATTACATTTATTTTGCGTGTGTGTGTGTGTGTGCACACGCATGCACCCTCGATGTGTTCTTGTCATGAGTGTATGTAGCGGTCAGTTTGGTTCTCTCCGTCCTCCACGGGGGTCCTGGACATGGAGCTGAGTCAGGCGTGGCAGCAATCATTTACTGAGTCATCTTGCCATTCCCACTTCTTTTTCGAAAGTAGTTTTTGGTTTTTTTTTTGTTTTTTAGACAGTCTCCTATGCAGCTCAGGCAGCCTTCAGTTCACGATTCTTCTACACGATCTTCCTCGTGCTGGGGTTACAGCTGTGTGTCACCATACTCTAAATTCAAGTGATTTCTTTGAATGGAGATTATGTTGTATATAAATCTGCTTTAAAAACATTAACATATCTTTAACGTTTCATTAAAATAATCTATAAGCGCTTTTCCTCTGCTGCCGCCAAGGTGCTCGGTTCTTCCTAGGAAGCTAAGGCCGCGTTGGGGTGAGGCCCTCACTTCATCCGGCCACTAGCACCGTGCCGACAGTCCGCAACATGGCCTCTGTCTCTGAGCTCGCCTGCATCTACTCCGCCCTCATCCTCCACGATGACGAGGTGACGGTCACGGAGGATGAGATCAATGCCCTCATTAAAGCAGCTGGTGTCAATGTTGAACCTTTCTGGCCTGGCTTGTGTGCAAAGGCCCTGGCCAATGTCAACATTGGGAGCCTCATCTGCAATGTAGGGGCTGGTGGGCCTGCTCCAGCAGCTGGAGTCGCACCAGCAGCCGGTCCTGCCCCCTCCACCGCTGCTGCCCCAGCTGAGGAGAAGAAAGTGGAAGCAAAGAAGGAAGAATCCGAGGAGTCTGATGACGGCATGGGCTTTGGTCTTTTCGACTAGGCGTTTTGATACCATGGCTAATAAAAGGATGAATCTGTAAAAAAAAAAAAATAATAATCTATAAGCCAGGTGCACATCTTTAATGCCAGCACTTAGGAGGCAGAGGCAGGCAAATCTCTGTGCGTTCGAGGCAAGCCTGGTCTACAAATTGAGTTTCAGGATAGCTACATAGAGAAACCATGTCTCAAAAAATCAAAAAACAAATCTATAAATATAAATTTTGTTGCTGTACCCTATTCCATGGTTTACTGTCATAACTTTTCTGTGTTAAGAATAACTGAGCCTGGGCTTGTGAAATGGCTCAGTGGGTAAAGGTGCTTGCTGCCAAGACTGCCCTGGGTGGATCCTTGGAAGGGAAAGCTGGTTCTTGAAAACTGTCCTCCAGCACATGCACCATGGTATGTGTACTTATGCTCAAAATGTAAAAAGTTGGCCTGGGGTGAGTGACTCGCTATGCACTGTGGGCCAAAACACCTGGGCTTTAGCTGTACTCCTGGTCCGTGTGATCACGGGCAAGATCCTTCCTTCTCTATGCCTACGGACTTTTATCCATAGTACTTTCCTCATGCTGGATTCTCCCCGCCATTGGGTTTAAAGCAGTCGGTAAGATTTTGGTTAGGCTTCAGCTTGGGTTTGCACAAGACTCGAGATTCTCACCCTAACCTACAAGCCCATAAGAGAGAATTACCAGGTTTAAGACATCTCTTTCACTTGATAAAGCTAACCAAAGCCCTTTCCTTGTTTGTTCTCTGCCTTTCCAGACCTCCCATACAGTCTCCCTGCCAGTCCCTCCCTGTGGTCTGCTTGTGAGATGAGTGTGGACCCCTCCTGGGGGAGGCAGCATCTTACCAGCCTCCAAAGGCTAGCCTTGAACTCGCCGTGTAGTCCTGGCTGGGGCAGAAACTGCCTTTTGTTTGCAGGATAGGGGAGTGGTTGGCGGCTGACTTACAATCAGTGCTTTAGAATGCCCCAAACGGCGCCTGCCAACAGCAGAAGAATCTCTCTCCTTGCTGCCCTGGGCTGGCCCAGAGTGAAGTCAAGCCGACGGTAGTCTGGGCTGCTCTCTGGGCGCCCCCTCCTGGGGACCTGGAGAAAAACGGGGGACATTTCGTGTGCTCATCCAAACCCTGTCACACTATTGCCTCACAGGTGAATTTATTCAAGGAAAGTCCAATAGAACTTAAATATTAACTCACATTTAATGTTCAGCAATTCACCTTGTTTTCTAAATAGGAGTAAAGTTGCTCAGCATTGCCTGGTTGATGTCCTGGGGTAGGTGGTCTCTGCAGGTAGATGCCACAGGGTCTCCGGCAGTGTCTGGAGTTGGGGTGACCCAGGAAGAAGCCCTGGCTGTGGATGTAGACCTGAGGAGTGAACTTTCAAAAGCTCAAGCAAAGCTGTGGAGCTACAACTTTGGAGGCTGTAAAATAAGAAAAAAAGAGAAACCGAAACTAACAAATGTTTAAAGAAAATAGCATGTCAGTTTCAATATTTGTTAATCTTAGTATCCATACAAATGTCATCATATTTGAAAACAATTTGTAAACTGGGTTTTTGGCAAACACTCTGGACTCCACAGCATGATCGCAGTCGTAGCCAGTTCTAAACTACACGAGTTGCACGAGTTGCTCTAGTCGGGTAACTTCAAAAGCAAGTCAACGGAGGCCTGTCTAGTTTAAGCTGAAGAAGAGTTACATTGAATGAGGGCCAGAGGTGCATTTTAACGTTTGTAACTCTTGGAGGGGAGGATCCTCAGAATCAGCTGCAGGGTCTGCCTGGGGCTCAGGAGAGCCCTGTCCCCAGGCCTCTTCCAGAGAAGATTGGCTCAGCCTCAGGTCTGATCTCCAGGTCAGTGCTTCTGTCTGGCTGAAGAGGCTGTGTGGTACAGCTGTCTCAGCTGTAGCCGTGGCTGCTGCCTGCTAAACAGTGACAAGAATGATTAGAGCATCCATCTTCACTTGGCTCACGAGGAACTGGTCGGGTTGTGAGCCTATTTGCTGAGAGAGTGAGCCCTGAGACATCAGTAGGTAGAGGAGTGGAGACCAGCAGACCCCAGCCTGGGGCCCTAAGGAAGGAAATGAAAGGACCTGTCTGTTTCTAGCAGGATAAAGACACCCCTGGGGCTGGAGAGATGGCTCAGAGGTTAAGAGCACTGATTGCTCTTCCGGAGGTCTTGAGTTCAATTCCCAGCAACCACATGGTGGCTCACAACCATCTGTAATGGGATCTGGTGCCCTCTTCTGGCCTGCAGGCATACATGCAGACAGAATATTGTAAACAAAATAAATAAATAAATCTTAAAAAAATCTTAGAAAAAAAAAGACACCCCCGCACACAGAGGTCTGCGTTCTTCCTGTGTGTGGAAAGTACCGAGGCCTGCTCTGCGTGTCAATCTGTGGAGGTCTTCATTCTCTACTATTTTTCTAGACCCTGGTAAGTGGTATTTTTGTCCGAGTTGGTCTCCGACAAATGGCGCCCAACCTGGGGCGACAGGTAAACCCCAAAATGCACAAAAGTGTGGCCAGTGTACAAGGGAGTACACGAGGGATCCTGCATGAGGAAAATGACACCACAGGCATAGAGGTAAGTAATGAGTGATCAAAAATAAATACTAATAGTTAATAAAAAAGGAAAAAGAGGCAGGGAAAATTGGGAGTGAAACTTGTAAATAATATTTGTCAATATAGGACAAGGAAATAGTATTCAACTATCGGTGCAGGTTGCTTGGATGTATTTTGATAGCTAGGGGAACTAAAATGGGAGAAAACCAAAGGCAGATATTTTTAGAGCTTGCAAATAGTATATTCCCTCCCCCTCATTGGCAGTGCACCCACTGGCACCTTCGGGGTGATCCAGGACTTGGAAGAGGCCAAAGTGCAGCCTGACCTTTGCCCCCTGACAAGTTATAATGCTGTGGTCACCAAGCCGCAGCCTTTGCCGCTGCTGAGCCGGTGGGGAAAATGATGGCGGTATGGTGTGTGGCCCAGCAATGGCCTGAGTTACCACTGACTGTAGCAGTCCATGAAAACATGCTGTAGCCAGCCGAGTCTGACCCACACTGTGTGGGGGAGCCAAGAAAGGAAAGAAAGTTTGAAGGGCTTTACCTCCCACAGTCAGCACTCGGAGCCTTCAATGAAAATGTCTAGAGGCCAATTAGTCCATGAGCCAAGAAGCCTGTGGATAAATTTATGTTTTTTAACAGAGGAGAGGATTCAGGATTTATAATTACAAGATTTAAAATAAATAAGCAGAGGTAATAAAGGAAATCAGCATGACTATACCGGCCTAAGCTTGTGGACATGGCAGTCTCAGAGCCTACAATGGCAGGCACCTGAAATCCTGAACTAAATTTGCCAGTCAGTCACAGTTTGTGTGTGTGTGTGGGGGGGGGGCACCGAATGTAGCCTGTGCCCTGCCCAGGCACAACAGGCGATGAGGGACCGGCTTTCAAAAAAGGACTTGGCCAAGCAGTGGAGAGCATTACTTCCGCTCAGCTGCTCAGCCCAGCTTGAACTACGAACCCAAATCAAGGTTCCCAACCTGGCAGCCAAGCTACAAAAAGGTAACCTCAAAAAACTACAACTCCAGGCCCAGTCAAATGTCTTTTAAAATGCATATGAGCAAGTTAAGCCTGTCGGCTAGGCAGACTTGCAATTTAAATTAAAAAGATAGCTTACAGGACTGGAGAGGTGGCTCAGATTAACAAAAAGCCTACGATGATCAACTTCCATTATACTAAGCAACAGATTGATTGGTTATTTCAAAATAATAATTTTTGGGTAATTGTGTTTGCTCAACTTAAAGGCCAGATTAATAATCTTTTCCCAGCTGATCCATTGCTGCAATTTGCACAACTGTATTCCTTTATTTTTCCAAAAGTTATAGCAAAAGATCCCTTAAAGGATGCTTTTTTTTCCCCAAATGGTTCTTCCAATAAAAGAACTGCATGTGTTGCTAATGGAGAAAGACATATAATGCAAACAGAACCAGCCTTGGTTGATAGTTGAGCTGTGAGCTGTTGCTATAGTGTTTCAGCTTCCTTCAGATAAGGCATTTAATCTATATACTGACAGTCAATATATTTTTATTGCTCTTCGAGTCCTAGAAACCATCCCACATATTGGGACTAGTAATAAGCAAGTTAAAATGCTATTCCAGCAAATTCAAAATGTCATACAACAAAGAAAGTTGCCATGCTTTGTAGGGTATGTTAGAGCGCATTCAAATCTTTCTAGTCCACTGACTGAAGGTAATGCTTTAGCTGACAAGCTTATAAAACGAATCACTCTATCTCAGGTTGAGCTTGCTCAGTGATCACATGCTCTGCATTGTCAAAATAGTATAAGTTTAAGAAAACAATTTAGATTAACAAGAGAAGCTGCTCGCCAAATTGTTAAGCAATGTAATATATACCCACAGTATTTATCTGTACCTCATCTGGGAGTAAATACCTCAGGACTACTTCCTAATCACTTATGGCAAATGGATGTTACTCATATCGCAGAGTTTGGCAAATTAAGATATAGACATGTGGCAATACATATTAAGGATTCTTGATGGACACTGCACAAACTGGGGAAGTCACTCAGCATGTAATAACTCATTGCTTAAAACACTTCTCATACATGGGAACCCTAAAAATCATAAAGATGGATAATGAGTCCTGATATGTTAGTAAAGCATTTATTCAATTTTGCTCCCAATAGAATATCAAACATAAGACAGGTATTCCTTATAATCCCCAAGGACACGGAATTGTGGAGCGTGCCCATGGCTCCTTGAAAACACAACTTCAAAAGATAAAAACAGGAGAATTATATCCTCAACTGCCACACACTGCCTTAAGCCATGTATTCTTGAATATAATTTCTTGAATACAGAAGTCCATGAGCACTCTGCCACGGACAGATTTCAGCATGATGGCACCAAGATGACTTTTGCTAAAGCAAGGTGGAGAGACCCTTGCACTGGATTATGGAGAGGGCCTGACCCTGTGTGAATATGGGACTGAGGGCGTGTCTGTATTTTTTTC